GATTTCCTGAGGGGACGACGAGTGGATATAGACTGCATACAGGAAACAAAATGGAAGGGCGGAAAATCACGCGATATTGGGGATGACTCTAAGCTTCTCTACAATGGCACAAGCAACAGTCGCAATGGAGTAGGTAAAGCTGTCAACTGCAGGATTGCCGCAGTTGACTGATTAAGTGGTCGACTTATGAGCATAAAGATTGACATTGGTAGAAAAATCCTTCGAATTGTCACTGATTACGCTCCCCAAACCGAATGCAAAGAGGAAGAAAAGAATATGTTCTAGCAGGAGCTTGACGATTACATCGCATCCATACCACAGGACGAGATACTCCTGCTCGGAGCAGACTTAAATGGTCATGTGGGGGAGAAAAGAAATGATGCGGGAAAGTGTCACGGGAACCACGGATACGGCACATGCAATGAAGAAGGCGAACACATTATGGAATTCGCCACAGCGTACAACTTAGCATTAGTCAACAAGTACTACATCAAAAAGCATGAACACCTGATTACGTATTCAAGTGGAGACCGTCTAACACAAATTGACTACTGGGCAGGCGTTTACAGAGAACATAAAGGACTGCAAAGTTATCCCAGGTGAATGCTGCATACGTCAGCATAAGCCACTACTTTTAGATCAAAAAATTCCGGTTGAACGAAAAAGAAGACCCATGCTAGCAACAAAGCACGAATCAAGTGGTGGAAATTGAAAGGGAACTCTCTGGCCAAAGAAGCTCTGGTAAGTACTCTACCGGCCTTATGTGGAAAACCAGAACAGTTATGGTCAACTTTGAAGCGTAAGGTGCATCGGGTAGCAGGGAGTTTACTAGGTCACACAAAGCCAAGAAAAAGAAGAGTCGACAACGAAACTTGGTGGTGGAACGATGAGGTTCAAGCGGTGATTAAGGAAAAGTCAGGCATACAAGTAATGGCATAAGGCGAAATCGGAAAGGGATCGGCAATTGTGCCTACAAATGAAGCACGCTACAAAAGCATGTGTCAAGGAAGCGAAGAAAGCATGCGTAGAAGAGCTGTATAAGAAATTGGAATCTCGCGATGAAGGGCGCGAGATGTACCGAATAGCGCGAGGGAGGGCAGAGTCCACAAAAGATATGGAACACTTCTACCATGTGAGGGATAAGCTTGGAAAAACGTTAAGAAGACCACAGGAAATAACTGAGAGATGGCAACGTACTTCGAAGAAATGTCGTCTACTGCCAGCATTGCCACAGCCATCCCACCAGCTGACCCTGTGAAAGGACCACTACCACGTATAACAGCAGAGGAAGTATGACTTGCTATAGCAAGGACAAAGAACGGCAAGGCTTCTGGTTCAGATGACATACCAAGCGAATTCTGGAAAGAATACGGATGGCTCGGTGCCTCATGGCTTGCAGACCTTTTCAATCAGGTCATAAAAGCTAAGAGCATGCCCATGACTGGTCAAAGAGCACAACGATTCCAATATGGAAAAGTAAAGGCGATATCGCAGATTGTTCAACGTATCGGTCAATCCGGCTAATGAGCCACACTCTGAAAATCTTCGAAAGAGTACTTGAAAGACGATTTAGAGCGATCATAGAGCCGTCATCCAATCAGTGTGGATTTGTAAAGGGTGCCGGTACTAATGATGCCATCCATTCTGCACGGAAAGTGATGGAGAAGTATAGAGAAAAACGAAGAGAGTTGCACGCGGCTTTCCTAAATATGGAGAAAGCTTTCGACAGGGTATCTCATGATGTCATATGATGGGCACTGCGCAAGCACATGGTTCCAGAAGTATATATTCAATGGATAAAAATGGTCTATCACGGAGCCACGAGCTATGTGCAAACTGCGGCAAAATAGTCAAAACCATTCCGCATAAAGACCGGCGTACATCAGGGATCAGTGCTCTCTCCCCTACTCTTCATCACAATTATGGATGCAGTAATGGAAGGTCTCAAGCGACAGCCTCCATGGGCTCTTCTATATGCAGAAGATGTGGTGTTGATGGCAGAAACAGAAAAGAACTTGAAGAAAAAACACAGAGAAGGAGGGACCAATGAGGGTCGTACGGCTTACTCAACACAAAGAAGCAGAATATATGGAAGCTGGAGGTCAAACTTCGAAAACATATACATCGATGAGAAGCCAATCAAGAAAGCGAGTACATTCAAGTACCTAGGAAGTTGCATCTCTGGCGAAGGAGGTCTTTAAGATGAAATACCTGCCAGGACAAACGCATGCTGGATGAAATGGAGAACCTTCACAGGAGTTCTATACGACAAGCGAATGCCAGTGCAACTCAAATCCCAAATATACCGTACTGTGATCCGTCCCACAACGCTATATGACTGTGAATGCTGGCCCGGTACGCGAAATGAAGAACACAAGCTTAGTGTCATGGAAACAAGAATGCTGTTGGACACTGGGTGTCACCCTTCTAGGTCATGTCTGTAATGACACAGTTCGCGCAAGGATGAAAGTTGCTCCCATCGTTAAGAAAATACACGAAAAACGACTGCGATGGTACGGGCATGTGAGTAGAAGAGATGACAATCACATCGCAAGAATGGCCATGCCTCTGTAGGTCGCAGGAAAAAGACCACGGGAGAGGTGGGTGGACAAAATCAGAGCTGACCTGAAAGAGCTTAGGATTGACGAACATCATGCCTTAGATCGAGAATACTGGAGACAGTTGACTCGCACAGCAGACCCTGTGTAAGCGGGAAAATGCGAAGAAAAAAAAACCAGAAAAGCAGCGCAAAGGCTGTCTATTAAGGAGAACATGTTTTATAGTTGAACAGCCGCTTGTCGGTTCATGCCGGTTGATGTTGTAAAGCAATTTTTGATTGAGCGCACAAGCAAATTTTTGCACAGAAAAAAACACTCATGACTTCTTTCAGAAAAATGCTTCGCAGATTTGGAAGGTAGATTTGGAATTAGCGTTTGAAACCACATTATCGGTATGCATCACTTCGTAAATTGTCACTTCGTCCAAGTATCCTC